TGAAATTAAATCGCGGTGATGACTGCATACACTTTAAAAGGGTAAGTTCTTCTTTATATATATAGCCCAACTTCTCAGATTATTTGCTAGGAATACAGACTGAATAAGATGAGAGGATTGACCCTACCACACATACATCTTACCTTTTCCATTTTTAAACCACACAGTATCCCCTGGTTTGTTTGGACAACAGCTTCTTGATCCATGTACAGGTTTAACATGAGCACAATAAGTATTATGGAATTCCTTTTCTTTATAATGTCATCGCTAATGTATGATCCACAGTCAAATGCCTTGGCATAGTCAAAACACAGGTAAACATCTTTGCAGTATTTTCTGCTTTTAGTCAAGATCTGACATCAGCAAAATACATCCCCTGTTATACAACCTCTTTTGAATCTGGCTTCAATTTTTAGTAGCTCCTTGTTGTCTGTTCAGCTATAGCCATTTTGAATTATCTTCAGCATGCAATATTGATGTTGTTTGATGATTCCACATTCCATTCAATCACTTTACTTTGGAATGGGCACAAATATGGATTTCTTCCACTCAGCTGGCCAGTCTTCCAAATTTCTTAACAGAAATGATTGTTCCTAGCACTGCATCTGTTTGCTGAAGTAATTGCTCTGATATCCATCAATTTCTAAAGCCTTGTTTTTGTGCTAATTCCTACATGCAGCTTGAACTTCTTTCTTCAGTATGAGTGATCCTTCATCATATGCTACCTCTGGAAATGGTTGAACGTCAACTAACTCTTTTTCACTCTGTGTATGCCTTCCATCATCTTTTGATGCTTTTTATGCCTTTTAATATTCTATTCTGAGAACCTTCAACATTTTAAGATGAGGCGTGAATTTTCTCTTCAGTTCTCAGCTTGAGAAATGTCTTTGCACGTGTCATTATAATACCTTACTCCTTCCTTGTCATGAGTCATCTTTTGAAATCTTCAATTCAACTCTCTATCGCATCATTTACTGTTTGGTTTAGCTACTCTGACCTCAAGAACAAATTTCAGAATCTCTTTTGACACTAATTTCGGTTTTTTTCTTTTTAATGGCCTTTTCCCTATCTTTATGTACAATGAATACGACTTAGCATTTGGAAACAAACAAGAGCATGCTGGACAGATAGCGAACACACACTGGATGAGTGAAGCCAGACAAAATGACTCCATGTATGTCAAATTCCAGAAAAGGCAAAACCTACCTTGAAAAAAAATTTGAAAAGTAGGAATAAATACTCAAAAATAACATAAGACTCAAAGATCATTATCAAAAAACGGTCACTTGACTACAGGATTGTTTTGAGGATCAAGATAGTAAGTGTAAAATCAGGCTGTACTCTGCAGAGCACTATTAAAAATAAGACATTATTATTAATTCACATCAACAATTCTGATATTGCAACTTAATGTCCTTCTATGGGAAGAGACTGCAATGGCTTAGTTTGCAAAAACCTAAAGACGTATCACAAACTATAATCCTACAACTTTCGCCATATCTCCCCAAAGCCAATTAACTGTCAACCTCAAGAGATCCTAACATCCATTCTAGAAAAATAAATAATAATCTCATTTAAAACAACAATGCTTTCTGAAAAGACCAAACAATAGAGATAATTCTTAAAACCAGAAAAATTAAGACAAGCAAGTGAAGATGGGTCTAAGTATCTTTATTCAAATCATTACAAACTATAGATCATTTTAAATAAAGTGTACTTTAGTCATTCCAATAACTCATTTCTAGTTGAGCCCAAAGAATTCTTATTCTACCATATGCTAATGTGACCACTTTTTCTAAGGATACACGTTGAAAAAAACCTAATAAAAATTAATAAAAAGTGCCATTACCCCTCAAACCTAAACAGTGGTCTGAGTGGCTTAAAGAAAAAAGGAGGTAAAAGTAAAACTGAAATGGACTTGGAGTCTTGTGACAAACAAGTCATTTCAAACAATAACAATAAAAAATAAAAATTTCCATTCATAAGTATAGATATATACTTTAAAATTAATATATGTCTGATTAATAAGTCCAACAATCTAATGCAGCAATGTCACTAGGGAGATGCTGGGGTGCAGGACACACGGGCCAACACTGTCAGATGATGTGACCCCAAACGACTGCCATTAACATTTTTGCACAGTGTTTCAGTAGAAATGTTTTCTTTTTTAATAGTGTTGCTACTTAATTATACTTAATTACAGAAACAACAAAGAATTTTCATAACCCAGGCTTACATGTATCAATACCTACCAGGCTTTGAACCTTCTTTCTAATGCACTCCAGTCAGAACTGTCATTGTTATCCAGTTTTAATAATACTGAATCACATGGTTCTGTCTAGACATGCCACAAGCACATGTTGTTGTTTTCATGACTGTTGGTAGTTGTATGTTGCTAATTCTGACAAATATTCTGGTGTTTTAACTACAATATTGTGATAATTAGTATTTGTGAAGCTTTATAAATAACTTTTTTTAAGGATATAATAGTAACTTAAAAAACTAAACTCAAAACAAACTCATTGCCAGCTCACAGCAACTATATACAATAGAATAAAGCTGGTCTTTAGGGTTTTTGAGGCTGTAAATCTTAATAAGAGCATACAGCCTCATCTTCCTCCAGTGGATTGACTTGTGGGCTTGAATCACCAACCTAGCAGCTCAATGCAATGCTTAACTCAAAGATCCACTAAGCTAATTAAAGAAAATCCCACTGAATAAGCAAATGTGGTGAAGAAAGCTGAT